TGTCTGTCAGGGGGCCTCTTGAGGTGTCAGTTTTTGTTGGAAGAAGAAGCAAGCCATGGCTAGTAGAGTCCATGATCCAGTATCCCTGACTCTTTTTGTTTTTTTGAGACAGGGGTTTCTTTGTGTAGCCTTGGTTGTCCTGGAACTCACTCTGTAGACCAGGCTGGCCTCAAACTCAAGAGATCTGCCTGCCTCTGCCTCCCAAGTGTGGCATGTGCCACCACAGCCTGGCCCCTGACTCATTTTATACAAGGGGAAAAATAAGGTCCAAGAGGGCAAAATATGACCAAGAATCATATTGTGCATTTCAGCCACAAGCAAGGATTAAAGGGCGCCCTGACCCCGACCACCAGGGTAGTGGTGCCCTACCTGTATCAATGTGGCAGTGCCCAATGGCATGGATCGTATGTTGGCTTTCACCTCCACACTGGCCGAAGAACTTGGAGGCCAGGGCCTCGGCTACCGAGTAGGTCTCAGGCTGGGCAGGATCACACATGTTCACCATCTGGTTGGCTGTGTACAGGGCCTGGAAACTGCGCTGGTTGTCCTCCCCGAGGCCCTGCAGCAGTTTAATGAAGTTTAATGACTCAAGCACTACCACAGAACTAGGCTCCATCTGGTCTCTCAAGAGTTCTCCACAAAGCTCCCCCACTTCTAATGCTCTACTTCCCAAAACCATCCCTGTTCACACAGAAAAACTCTCTTCCGACTCCGGATTCCCAGAGTTTCAGTGACCTGACCCAAGAAAAAATCTGCCTGTAGCAGGGGTCCAGATGGGAGGAGGGGCTCCAGTACCTTGGCCACACCCAGCAGCAGCTCCAGGTCCACAAGGAGACTGTGGACATCCCGGTTGAACACAGCCAGCTTAGCCTGGCTCAGATGGAACATCTTCTCCGGGTCAGGGGCTGCAATCATGCTTCCCTTCCCGGCCCCCAGAAGCCCATTGCAGGCTACTTCCACATAGAGGGTCAAGCTACAAATGCAGACAGAGGCAGTCTCAGGCCAATGGACCGGCAGAAGGTTCTGGGAGCTTGGGAAGGGGGCAAGTAAGCGTCGTTCAGTTGATCCTCATTTACTTCTAGGATCCACTTCCCAGAGGAACCCAGGGGTGTCAGGTGTATGTGGGAGACTCATGGTAGAAATACCAGCTTAAATCCATGTCCTCCTAAGGAACGTTTTGTTATTGGCAGAAAGGACAATGGCTAAGTTTGGACTCCTATGAGGTACACTGCTGTTTAACTTCACATTTCCAAAGCTGTCTGTGCAAGGCACTCTTGGTCTCAAAGCCCTCACTGCACAGTAAACTTGTTTGGCTCTTCAAATGCTAACTTTCAGTCACCAGCTCTACCAGCCAATCTGTTTCCAGAAGCAGCACCTGGGCAGAGTCCTCTGCTAAAGCTAAACTCAGTGTCACAAAGCAAAACCTTTCTGACCCCAGCCCCTCCTAGTCTGGCGATTCCCACATGGAGTTCTCAGTATGTTCTTCCAGAATCTTCAGAGCGTCACAATTCTATAAATATTTCCATCTGCCCCTCAAGGGCACTACACCTTATTCCCAGTGTTTGGAAGAATCTGAAACAATTTACAGTTAACACTAGGTGGTGATGGAGGCCTTTAATTTTAGCCCTTGAGAGGCAGGTAGATCTATGAGTTTGAAACCAGCCTCGTCTACAGAACAAGTTCTCAGACATCCAGAGCTACAGAGAGAAAACCTGTCTCAGAAAACCAAACCAAAACAGCAACAACAAAATATAGAGTTGAATATAAAATACAATGATTATGCATGGTGGCACCCAACTTTAGTCCCAGCACTTGTGGGGAAGGAAGCAAGTAATTCTAGAAGTTCAAGCCAACTTGGTCTACACAGTGAATTCCAGAACAGCCAGGGCTACAGAGTGGGACCCTGTCACAATCAAAACAAAAAACAACAAACAAAAAACAACCAAATCTAATGTGTTAGCTTTTGATGATACCATAGAGGGCCCCTCAATATGGAAAAAAAAAAGGAGATTAAAAGATCTAAATGCAAAATATCAAAGAAATATAATCTCAACTAGGAAAAAGAGGTTTTGCTGAAAGAATCTTGAAGAATGGCCATCCCGGAGTGGAAGTGTAAGAGGAATAATTTTTTTTTGTGTCCTTTTATATTTAACACAAGAAAGGAAGTATTCTTTTAAGACTTATGTGTCTATGTCTGGGTAAGTGAATGTCATGTGCATGTAGATACCCTCAGAATTCAGCTAGAGTTATAGGCAGTTGTGAACCAAACTCAGGTCTTCTAGAAGAGCAGTAAGTGCTCTTAACTGCTGAGCCATCTCTCTAGCCCTCTCTAGCAGTAAATATTTTTACAGTCAGGAAAAAAAAATCAAACTTCCTGCAACCAAAGTATGTGAGGGTAGCTGTAACTCTGAGGCCACTCCCGCCTCAGGTCCTCCTACATCATTAGTCCCCTGGAACTTGCTTACCTCCGAGGCTCTTCTTCTTCTAGCTTATCAGTCAAGATATAACTAGTCTTTTCACCCTCTTTTGTCAAACCCTAGAAGAGAAGAGAGACAGGGCCTGAGGCCTTTAGAAAATTCAAAGCAAGTGTAGAGCCAAAAGTGGCCAGGCTTTGCCATCCAGCTGCCTAGCCCTGAGTCCTCTCCCCCAGGAAAGGATAGGATAAGCTAATCAGGGACCCTTGGTAGCAAGTGCCACAACCATTGATGGCCAGCACACAAGCATATGTCCACTAGCAGGTGGTAAAGGGACTCTGGCCAGCTTGAGCATGGCAAACACGGCTCCAGCAGGCCTTGTCCTTCTTCCCCACTCTCTCTGCCTTGCTAAACTGTTAGCTTACGTCCCTATCACCAGGATCTAGTCCCTCATTCGGCCACTTTCTCCTCCCAAGGCTGACCACCAAGGTCCAGCTATTAGAATATTGAAGTCCAGCAACCAAAAGCCTCCTTTGGCTCACCTAATTAACATGGCCAATTCAAATTAAACATCTCATCCTAATACAGGGTTTCCCCTTGTACCTTACAAACTGTCATTTTCTCAGTCCTTTGTCCTCCAGGACAAATATCCCTTCTTTCTCTCCTTTGTTCCCTTCCCTTTCTCTCTCATCCTCTATCTCCTGCCTTTCTCTTATTCCTTCCCCTCTGTCCCTCTGGGACACATAAATCTTTGTGCTAAGAACTTGGTCTTAGCACAGGGTCCCTACAGATGACCTTATAGGAAGGATCCTGGGTAGGAGTTAGGAGGCCTGGCGTGGCTTCTGGTGTCCTTTCTATCCATGAATACTTAAAGGAAAATCCCATGGAATGAGCCAGATATGTTGATACAGGTCTATAATTCTAGCTACTTGGGAGGTCCATGGAGGAGGATGCCAAGTCCAAAGCTACTAGCAAGGACAGTTCAACAAGACCCTTTCTCAAATGGGAGGCGGGGATGGATTAGCTCAGTGGGAAGAACACTTGTCTAGCATTGTGAGGTTCTGGGATCAGTTAACTTAAAACAAAAAGTCCAAAGACTCTGAGACTCTCATTCCCAGTGTTCAGTAAGGTGGGTGCCAGGGGATATATATAGTTAGCCAGTGACGGGAGGAAAGTTGAATAGACTCTGCTTTCTTTTAGGACAATTCTCACCCCCGATACTGGAATTTGGGATGAAAGTTGTATGAACCATCATAGAAAACTCTATCTTCATTTTTTCACCTATAAACGAACATACAGTCCTATCATATAGGGTTATAAAGATTAAACTGGGTATGAGATTTAACATATAACATGGTTCCAGGGAATGTTTAACATATAATGTTTAACATATAACATAGATCTTGGTGGTCAGCCAAGTTAGAAGAGATTCATTATTCATGGAAGTAAATACTTTAATTTATGCTATTCTAGAATGATCTTAAGTTTCTCCAACAAATATGTACTATATAAAAAATAGTTTATGAAAATTGGGGGTTTATAACACTAGTGTCCAAATGGCAATTTCCTCAGTCCCAGAATCATGGAACTACTCTGAAGGCCCAGTCAATCAGCCCTGTCTTCTCCAAACACCAGGCTATTCTGTGGCTGTATCTGGCTCTAGGGGGAGGGCCCCTCACCTGGACAGGTTCACCATCACGCCAGACAAGGCTTTCTCCATCGCTTTCCCAGCAAAGATGAACTTCCTGGCCCACCCAAGCTTCAGGTATGACCAGTTCCACCCGGAACCAACAAGTACACCATCTGCAAGAGAGCCATCGTGATGGGCCTAGGAGTGGAAACCCTCTTGAGACATGGTTTCTTGAATAAATGTCAGCAGGGCCTTAAGATTTTCTGCAATGGGTGAAAATGGGTGGGAAAATGGGTGGGAAAGCATCTGAGAAATGAGTGGGAAAGAGGCAGAGGCAGCAGCAATGAAAATTTTCAGATGAAGACACCGAAAGACGAAGGAACTTCATCAGCAGAGGGCGCTACTCTCTGTCATCTAGCAGTCTAAGGCCCAAGATAATGAGGCCTTAGAGGGGCGGAGCTTCCTCAAACTGGGCGTTACCCACGTGGGTCCGAAGCTGTCGCCGACCTGGGCGGGGCTGAAGTTCTGTTGCACTGCCTCCTGGTAGGGAAGCCTCTCCGGCGTCAGGAAGCTGGAGAGTGTCACTGGGCAGCTGTCCCCGAAGAGCCTGGGGAGGAGGAGCCAATGGGCGCGAGCTTGAAGCCATCCCTGTCCACCCGTGAGCCCGCCGACGGGTGGGAAAACGCTCTCTCTACCCAACGCCGTGAGGACCGCCTGGCAGCTCGGCAGCACAGTCCACCCTCTACCATTTTCTCCCCAGCCCTGCCCTGACTGTGGCGGACACTTTGTTCCGCGGCCCGGGTGGCCACAGCCTGGGTTTCCCTCCGGAAGGGAAGGGAAGAGCGCGCGGATGCGGTCTGAGGGCTCCGCAGGCCAGGGGCCACACCTGCCGCGAAGGTTACAGTCGGTGAAGTAGGTCGGGGACACGAACTTCTCCACCCGCTCGAAAGTGGTGCGCCAGTGCTTCAAGAACGGCGCTACCGCCATGGCGATGCGCCTTTTCTCCCGGAAGATCCTTGGTGCTGCCGGCTCGCTGCACCGTTTGGAACCAAAGGTTCCGGCATCCGTCCAGTACCTTACAGACCCGAGCAGCTTTCCTTGGGACACCACAGCTTTTGCAAGAGGCTGGCTTTGGGGAGCCATCCCGGTAAAACCCGGAAGCTGCTGCTCCTTGGTGGTTCTCATCTCATCCCAGCTGTCAAGACAGCTGGTTGAATAATACTTAAATAAAATGGTAAGTTTGAGCTGGTGATGCCGTTCACTAAGGAGAGTGAATTGCCTGCGATGCACGAAGCCCTAGTGCGTGGAGGCGGGAATGTAAATTGGAGGATATTCGCATCCAGATAGCGATTTTGAGTACAGCCTAGGTTACTTAGGACTAGGGGCGAGGGATACGGAGGGAAACCCTGGAAGGTACTGGAGCACTGCCCCGGCAGAGTATGAGAAAAGCAAGGCTGCCACGGGGTTTTCAAACTGATGAGCAATGTATTAAGAAGTAGGGAAACGGGGCTTTGCACCCCAGTAACCATCCATCACGTACATTATAGACACCATTGTTGCCCATCATTCAAATGTCCGGATTTTTTACCTGACGCAGCAGGTCAACAAATCCAGATTAGCCTGAATGCCAAAAGCTAACCTCCAGCTTTAACGGTATCTAGAAAACCACTAGGAAGAAAAAATACAGAAGGAATCTAACTAGCCAGTTCTAATGGAAATAGCCAGGTTTACATTTCAAATGCAGGTTTCTCAGAAAAATGACCAAGAGCCTGGCCGTGTTAGCGCACACCTTTAATCCCAGCACTCAGGGAAGCAGAGGCAGGGGGATCTCTGAGTTCGAGACCAGCCTGGTCTACAGAGTGAGTTCCAAGACAGCCAAGGGTACACAGGAAAACCCTGTCTCAAAAAACTAAAAAACGACCAAGAGAATATCAGAGGTCATATAAAATAAAGATAACTTTCTGCTGCTTGTGAAAACTTTACAAAAGTTCCCTGTTTTATTGGTCACAAAGACTTTTTCTCTTGAACAGGCCTTGAAATCCTGACCTGCAGGGAGATGAAGGTGCTGTAAGCAGTTAAGACTAAGCGTGGGTAGCAACTGCCCAGACTGCCTCTAGTCCTATCATCCTTCTAGGCCAGCACGTCTTGAGGGTACAGAGCGAGGAGGTGAACCACAGCTGAGGAAATCAAACTCTTAGGATTACTCTTCCTGGCATGCTGCCTCAGCGCTGTACTACAGGGCTTTTCCGTTAGGTTTTCTGTTACCAGCAAGTATATTACCCTGAAAGAAAATCACCCTAAAAGCAGAATATGGCCACACATACCTGTGCTCCCACAACTTGGGGAGTCTGAGCAGGATTCATGAGTTTTGAAGGAGCCTGGGCTACAGTGTGACCTTGTCAGATAAATAAAAAACCAGGCAAAGAATTTTCTTCTTTATGGTGGTGTTGGGAATTTTAAAAATATTGTTACATTTTATTGGGTGGGGTGGGGGAAGTGCCTGTGTGGGACCCTGGCCTCAAACTCAGGTCTTCAGGTTTAGTGGCAAAAACCTTAACAGGCTGATCCATCTCATTGGTCCCAGTACTGGAGATTTTTAGTTGGAATAACATACCTGATTATAACTATGACTAGTTGATGGTTGCTGAGTTCTATGAGGGCTAGTTAATTAGAAAGTCCAGATCCACCGTATTTGAAGACTCCTAATGTTCTTGTTCATGTTTAAATTTAACTTTTAAGTGGAGCTAGTGAGATGGGTGAGGGTAACAGCACAAATGCATTTCCAGTCAAGCCTGACCACCTGAGTTCAATTTCTGGAACTGACTCCAAGTTGTTCTCACTTCCATACTTGCACCTCGGTGCCCATGCACACACGTGTACACACCCAAATAAATGTAAAAAAAATAACAAAATTGACTTTATATTTTTGAGATAGGGTCTCTATGGCCCTGACTATCCTGGGATTAGGTTAACCAGGCTAGCCATAAACTCACAGAGATCTGTTTGTTTCCCTCTGAGTGGGAAGCCTATGTCATTTGCTATTGCTAAGCAATGTCTCAAATTCATTCCAACTTCTACAAACTATACACTTGACACTTCTGCTTGGCATCTTGAGTTGCTGGCTCATTCCCAGGAAGGAAAATTAAAATTCCGAGGGGTGTACCTGAGCCTGAGTGCCCCAAGTGTAGGCACTCAAGTGCCCGAGAGCATGTGTGGAGGAGACCAAAGAACCACTTCTGGAAGTCAACTTTCCCTTCCAATGGGGACCCAGAGATCACACTTGTCAGGATTGTTTGGCAAGCACTTTTACCAGTAAGATGGAGCCATCTTACTGGCCTCAATTTTGATATATGTAAATCTGACCAGTGCAAGTGCTTATTTATTTAAAGCAAAATCCTACTTGTAACCTGGATAAGAAACTAAAGCCAGTCCCCTACTTTAAAATAGCTCTCTGATGAGGACAAGGGACTTGGGTTATTTATTTCCTTAAGAACCAAGCTTTATTTACATTAAAAAAAAAAAAGAAGAAGAAGAAGAAAAGTTGTGGGAGGGAAGACAAGTTTTACACAAAAGTACTACAATGGTATCTCCCTTTGGTAAAAAGTGTAATAAATGTCTTGTACATCTGTTTATAGGTACTAAATCTGAAGCCACATAGTACTATGGTACACAAGAAGCTAGAACAGTTATGCTAGCACATCAAAGCATATTTCTTTTAATAAAAAAATTGACAGTATGTACATTATTTACAAAAAAGAAAATCCAAGTTAAAATTGTGTGTGTGTGAGAGAGAGAGAGACAAGAGTGAAGCTGGTGGATGGCACTAGGGTAGATAGTAAAGAAGCAGGTACAAAACAGTCCCATGGGAGCCAAAAAGGAGGACTGACTGGAATCTGTTGAGGCTGAGAACCAGGAGAGAAAGGAAGATGGGGAGCAAGTACTCAGCAACCAAATCCACAAGTTATCAATCCCAAAGCCGAACAGCAGGTCCCAGATAAACTCTATAGATGTGCTCAAGTGGGGGAGTTGTCAAATCCAGTCTTTTTCTCTTTTCTCCTTTTTTTTTGGGGGGGGGGGTGAGAAGAGGAGCAGTGACAAAATGCACCTCCATCCATCCAAATGGTGATAGTATCTGGTTGCTCAGGTCATAGGAAGTTCTAGTTTGAGCTCTGCTGGTGTGTGAAAGCATCTGTGCTTGCATGGACGTCATTTCCCGTTGGGCAGGCTAGCACCCTTGGGAAAGCGCCAGTTCCAGCTTCCTATGGTAGCCATCCACATTCTCTGTGTGTATCCTGCACTGGTGACTTGAAAGGCAACTTCCTTGATTCTTCAGTGTGTGCGGGTACACTTGCCCACACACACGCACACACACATACACACACACACACAAGGACACACACTGATACACACACACACCTCTGAGCTACGTGCTCTGGCTCTGCAGTTAAGGGGCTTTGAATACTGTGCCGTATTTGACACGATACTTGTTAATGCTCACGAAGTGCAGAGTCTCTGTGTCACAGGTGGTGGTGCAGGGCACCAGGCCCTCCAGCCCCTCACCCATGAGCCACTTGCTGGTCTCTGCAGCCATTTCACGAGGCACATGCTCCTTGGTCCATTTATCTACCCAGGCCTGGAAGCGCTGATGCAGACGCTTGCTTACTCGCTCATGGGACTGAAATGAAAGAGAGAGGAAAAAGGATAAAACAGGAAAACAAACCCTTCAAATACAAAACAGTATTTATCTACTGCCCTCTTCTGGCATGCAGGTGTACATACAGGTAGAGCACTCATAGACGTCAAATAATGGAATCCCACATGTCTGTTCCCTAACCCTTTTATTTCCCTGGTAATGCACAGAAACACTACTCACTTGCCCTAGTTTGTGGTTATATCCCAGAGCTTGCTGTAACACATGCTACATAACAAGTGAGACAGCCTTTGAAATCAGGGTTCGCACGAACAGAAGATGAGAAACTGAAATGTAAACACCAGGAGAAGGTCTCTCCTCCAGTCAGATGCCTACACTGACATCTTCACCCCACACACTCTTCCTTCCAAATATGACACTTATTTAGACATACCAGAGGAAGACCATGAATGACCTAGGAACATAAAACAACACAATGACAATGGCTATTCAAGTGTTCTACCACTGAGTTATAGATCCTCAGCAATTTCTATTCAGGGATACCCGTTAAGATATGTTCCTTAGCAAACAAATACACCTCCTTACACAACAACTGTTTGTTCTGGAAAGAGGTTTTTATAAAAAGGAAGTAATCGTGCCAATTCTGTAGGACTGGGGGGAATACGGCGATTTTCCAGCAACTAGTTCTCACCTGATGAGCTCTGAGTAGAGCAGTTCTCCGGTACATGTAGTCCTCCGACTTGATCACGTACACCATCTTATAGGAGTTCAGCTTGAACCTACACTCGAGCTTATCCAGGCTCTCTACATTCTCCATGGTCTTCTTGCTGTTTCCTTCTTTCCCTTCTTTTTCCTGTTGCTCTCGACCCCGCTGACACTTCCGAATACGCCGCAAATTCCTACAAAGCAAAAAGCCCTTTAGGTGGAGACCATCTGTATACAGATCCCTATGACTCCTATCAAATGTGCTTCCCTTATGTGCCCCAAAAATTCTACAACTTTAGTTACACATATATACAATTGTGTAGTGGCTTTTGCTATTTTATAGGTGGCTCATTCTTCTACCTTTTAGCCCCCAGATATAAGATAGGAGAGAAAAAAAAAAAGGATAGATGGGAAAGGGGGTGACTTTATCTTAGACTACTTCCTGCTGATAGGGCATCAAGTTCCTTGGGACAAGTTTGATTTTCAGGTTATACAATGAGACCCTGTCTGAAAACAAAAAACCCAACCAAACAAATCTCAAAATGTGACATGATAAGATGATACAGTGTCAGCAGGGTTTGGTAGAGCACGCCTGTAATCCCAGCACTCAGAGAGGGAGAGGCAGGTAGATCTCTGTGAGTTTGAGGCCAACCTGCAAGTCCAGGACAGGCAAGGCTATACAAAAAACAAACAAACAAACAAAAAACCCTGTCTCAAAAAACAAAACAAATCAAGAAAAAGATGATACAAAGTCCATGTCCATCTTGCTGAGTGGAGCTTGGCATTTGCTCACAGTGTTAACTGATCAGTGAGTGGAGAACCTGCTCCCTTTCCATATTCTCAATGGGACTAAACCCAGTAATACTTAAATACATTTTTAAGAAATTTTAGGGTGTTTTGTGTTGTTTTGTTTCTCAAGACAGGGAGGGTTCCTGTGCAGCCCTGGCTTTCCTGGAGCTCACTGCATAGGCAGGCTATCCCCTAACGCAGAGATCTGCCTGCCTCTGTGCTGGGACAAAAGGTGTGCTCTACCACCTGGCTAAAATAGATTTTAATCTCAAACTGTTAAAGGAGAAGGTCACTCCCACTCCTTCTGTTTTGTTAGAGGATGTGAAGTGGTTGTCAACCTAACTACACCTGGAATTGACTAAAACCCCTTCAGCAAGTTTTTGCTCTTTGCCTGCATGCTCCCACCCTTGCTAGCAAATCCACTGCTTTGCTGGCATTAGAGCCTACTCTGCCATATACTGAAGACCAGCCTGCGGACAAGACAACTACTGGATTCTTGGACTTTCCATTCACAGGCAACCATTGTTGTATTAGCTGGACCACAACCTGCATAAGCCATTCTAATAAATACTTTCGATATATATGCACAAGAGAAATTTATTCTCTAAGTCTTATTTTCTCCAGAGAACCCTGATTAATACATAGGGGCTGTATAGTACTACACAGGCTACTCTTCAACTCCCAGCAGTCCTTGTGCTGCAACCTCCTGGGTACCAGAATCACAGACATAAACCACAGACAGTTTCTACTTCCAAAAGCACTGTAAAATATCAGAGAATTAGCGTTAAACTTGCCTGTGTATGGGTAAATTTTAAAAATTCTATACAGAAAAGAATTACACAGCAGATAAAAGAGATTTGGGGTCCTTTTTATCATCCATCAAACCAAAAAAAGTGGTTCACCAAACCTAGAAAGTTTCTTCTGGAATTTTGTACGTCATGAAGGTCTCCCTCTCCCTCCAACACTTTTCTAGGATGGAATTTCTCTGTGTACCCCTGGTTGTCCTGGAACTTTCTCTGTAGACCATGCTGGCCTTGAACTCAGATACACCTGCCTCTGCCTATTGAGTGCTGGGATTAAAAGAGTGTGCCAGCACACCTAGCTGAAACCTGTCAACCTCAACAAAAAGCCTGACATCTGGTCTCTAATGAGCTTCTCTGGGAAGCAGCATTCCAAACACAATGCTGGCTTAAAGAATTAAGAGTGTTTTGTATGACTCCATTGGGGGAGGGCTTTTAGAAGATTGTGCCTAGCTCCCTCACATTCTTCCTTTTGCCGACTTTGCTCTGTGTTTTCTTGTGATTACTGCAGTTCTGAGGATGGCTATATGCTGAGTCTTGCTGGTGAACCACTGAGCCATGGACACAACACGACAGCCAGCTGACAGAATGAGGGCTACAGATTCTCCCACGCTCTCACTTCTCCAGTGCTGGGGATTTTACAGGTAAGCTAGCAAGCGCTCTAACACCGTCCTGAGCAGACAGAACAGACAAGCAATATAGGAAACCAAGAGCCTGAAGCTCCCCACCCCTTGACCCAGCTGTGCAGTATGTATTGCCAACAGAGATGAATCTGCAGACTTGCCTTGGGAGAAATACTGGTTTCTGTGCCAGATGCTCTCGAAGTTCAGGAGACGTAGTATCAGAACTCATATATCTCTCCACATAGTCTGACCAACGCTACAAAGAGAAATGTAGGAGAATGATCATAAAAACAGCTGTATTTGTACATCAGAGGTATAAACCTGTCACTAAATGTCCAAAGATTACAGATTTTAAGAACAAAATAGCCTGGTGTGGCAGTATACAAAATTAAATCTAGCATGCAAAAGACTAATATCCTGTCAAATAAAAGAGGGTAGAGGGGCCCTCAGGTTATAGCTCAGTGATAAAGTGTTTGCCTTTGAACCCTAGCACTGTAAAACTAAAAAGTAATGCCCTTTCTCTTAAAGATATGCTTGTTACTTGTTATTGAAATACATACACAAAATCTGTTAGACAGCAAGATAGTACATTTGAGATAGTTAACAAAAATAAATCAGTAGAAAAATAGTATTGCTGATAATCTCCCACATTAATATGTGGAACACTGCCACATCTTTAAAAAAAACAAAGTTTTGGCAAATACAAGCCAAATCATCTCTTCTTATTCTACTGAAATCATCTATGTGGCCTGGCTCTTATTTATATTACCCTGGCAAACATAATATCCCTCCAGTTCACAATTTATATTATCCTTGCAAGAATAATATATTCCCGAGTTCAAAATTTCTGGGTTCATTTAGCCCAATTAAAAAGTGAACATGACAATGCATCAAATGATACAACAGAACAAACAAAAGCACCTCACTTAGTGTTAATCATTTAGTAAAGAAACAAAAGCCACCTATGCTGCCAACCTATTACGGCGGATGAAAGGAGGAGGCACGAACTTTAAAGAGTTACTACCACTGGAACTCCACAGTGAGTACGGATAGACATACTTGGAATGACCTACACTCTAAACATCCTGACCCTTAAAACAGCCTATGGAGGAGCTAGAGGGATGGCTCACTGGTTGAGAGCACTGGTTGTTCTGTAGAGGATCAAGTTTTGTTCCTAGCAGCCATAACACAAACGCAGGCATGCACACAAGCACAAATCCTAAAAACAAAATTACAAAAATCCCAAGGAGCTACAGCCCACCAAAATGTAGGGTGACCAGACAAGCTCTCTGTGAAGCACACTTGTCCATACCTCTGCTTCCACAGGGTCATCTGAGTTCTCCTCTTCTGTGTCTAGAAGCTCAATCGTCAGTTGAACTTGGCCTTGACTTTGAATGAACATTAGCTGCAAAACAGAAGCAGAGTGTAAACAAACAATCTCCAGGGCTATGTGTAAAAAGAACTTTTATTCACCTGTAATTGTCATCTCAGAGGGTTTCTGCCTCCATCTGCTACCCTAGGCCGAGAATATTTGCTGCCTGAGGCTTACCTGAATAAGCTCACCCTTTGTAGTTCTTAGCTCTGGGCTGGCTGGTTCAACTCAGCTATTCTAGCTCAAACTCCTCACCCAGCTAGTCAATCCGGCTTTTCTCTCAGCCTCGAAATTGCTCTGCTTGGCTCACACTAACTCCAGCAACCTGTTCTAATCTGGCTCCTCACTCTGGCTTCTGCTGCCTTTACGGTGTCTAGTTTGTTTTCTCTCTCTGCATACTCTCTATTTCTGTCCTGGTAAAACCCGACTCTTCTCTCATTGCCCCTTAAGTAGCTTCCCTCTCCTTTCTATTCTCTTTGGGCGTATTCTATTCTGTCAAATCTTTCTCTGATTTGTCACTTTTTCTGCCACTAAACATAGATGCTTACCTTCATTTTTTGGGATTAAGGGCATGTACTACCACATCTGGGCCTAAGCTTTTCTTTACCTAAAACTTGCTCTATACCAGGCTGGCCTTGAACTCAGATCTGCTTGCCTGTGTCTCCTGGATTAAAGGCATGTTTGTATTCCAGGTGGATCACACAGATATTTGGATGTGATCTCTTGCCAGAGCAGCCATGTTCTGAATTAACATTCCTCTTCCGCTATAAACTTAGATTGTCATACTGAAGGCAGAAAGATACTAAGACTGTAAAATTTTGTTCCAAAGAAGAAACAAAAAGATATTGAAAAGCTGATTTAAAAAGGTAAAAGTGGGACTGCAGAGATGGCTCAGAGGATCAGCTTCTCTTCCAGAGGACCTGGGTTTGACACCCAGAACCCACATGGTGATAACTACAGTTTCAGAGGATGCAACAGAGGCTTTTGGCCTCTGAGGGCATTCCATGCAGGTGGTACACAAACATACACGAAGACAAGGCATCCCTACACATAAAAACAAATCATAAAAAAAAATTATGTTAATAAGTGGTTGCTCGGATTACATGGCTCACATTCCCTAGAGGCAAGGACTACAAAGATCCACAACTGGTCAAAATGCACAGAGTAACTGACCATGCCGTCTGATCCCAGCTGACGTATCTGCAATGCAGTCCCTTTACATAGGCTCAAGAAAGATTAAGGGAAGAAGAGTCAAGAAGATTTTAGGAGTCAGAAGACGAGGACGTGTGTTTAATAGTGTCTTCTAGACATTAATGGTGAAGCCACATCCATGGGACCTCAACAACAGGGTTATCTAAACAAAACCTGCATAATGACATCAGCTGGTATTCCAATATAGGTGGGGAAAATTTCACAAAGGTCCACTGTAAGATGAAGAGCTATAGGAACCTTTGATGGCTGTTGAAAGAGGGACAAGCCCCTGATAATTTATCTTGGGTGCTCAGTGCTAAGTATATGTGGCAACACCAACTGGACTCAGTGGGTTATAGACATATGTGACAGTGAAAATTAAAGAAGGAGCCATGCATCCAAGGGTGAGGAAGGGAACAGTGGAAAAATCGGAAAGGGGAGAAGAAAGAGGTGGAAGTGATGTAAAGAAAGTAGTCATGAATGAAATTCTCAAACATTAAAAATCTTAAAAACTAAAAAGAATGTTCTGTTGGGCTAGCATGGCTCTGTGAGTAAAGGTGTTTAACGACAAGCAGACAACACAGAGCTTAACCCCCAAAAATCCACAGGGTGGGAGAAGAGGCCTGGTTTCTGCAGCAGCCCTCTGACCTCCACAAGCCAATGTATGTGAAAACACACACGCACACTTTAAAAGGTTCTGTTGAGCTGGGTGTGTTGATACACCCAGTACAAGGAGGCTGGGGTAACAGAAATGCCTCAAGAGTATGGCCTATATAGTTCCAGACAAACCTGGAATATAAAAAGCGCCACAGCCAAGCCAAATATTGTTAATGGCACCAATCATATTTGAATTGAAGTTCTAGATTCTTATATTTTGCTAATAATATTTGTGTGGCTTTAAAAAACATTCAATAAAAGCAACACATTGTTAAGGGCAGTCACAGGACACATTTTATAGAAAACTGTCAACAGATCTCCTTTTCTGGAACCTTGACTCTCTCAATGTCCCACACACACATGCAGGCAAAACACCCGTACACATAAAATAAAAAAATAAAATTCACATGGGAAAAATGAGAGCTTACAAGTAAACTTGTGATAAATTGGTCACAGTGCCACACTGCTATAATTCTAGAACCAAGAAGGTGGAGGCAAGAGAATGAAAGGTGGAAATAAGGTCATCTTCTGTGACAAGTTAAGTTTAAGGACAACATGAGCTAAATCTGATTGTCTCTTAAAAAAAAAATTTTTTTTAAGTAAACAATTTCAACCCTCCTCATTTACATAAGGAGAAACCAGAATCCAGCCAGAATATTATGAAGGGCCATGCTATGAATCAGGCAGATGCAGCAAATGGAGGCGGGCCACTTGCAGTATGCTCTTAGGAAAGGCTATAAAAAACCAATTTGTTCCTAAAACTTCAAACCTAGCAACAATAATATAGTTAACCTAAAACAAAAATCTGAGGGAGATAAGCAATCCAGTAAGAACCAATAAAAAACAAGTCTGGTCTCCAGTTCACAGCAATCCTCCTACCTCAGCAAGTACCATAACAGGCTATATTTAATTGTGGGGGAGAAGATACAGGGTTTTCCTATGTAGCCCTGGCTGTAATGGAATTTGCTATGTAGACAAGGTTGGCCTTGAGCTCATAGAGACCCACCTGCCTCTGCCTCCTGAGTGCTAGGATTAAAGGTGTACACAACTATGGATGACTTAGGCTGTACTTAATTTTTTAAGAATAATAAAACAAATGCCATCCAGTATATAAGAGACTGTAATTTAATTCCACACTATGTCAGACATACAGATTTCCAATTACTTTTTTTTAAAATTATAATTAGATACTACAATGACAAATGATAAAAACTACCTAATATACCCAATATTATGGGCATTTCTTTCATGGGGTGGGGTTAAGAGTCTCAGGTTAGGAGGGTAACCTTGAACTTCTGACCTTCCCAGCATAACCTCTTGAGTGCTAGGATCACAGATGGGTGATGGGAGCAACTCAGGCCTTCACATATGCTACCCGAGGAAGTAGGATCTATAATTTAAGAATAGCCTGTGTTACACAGCTAGACTCTGTCTCATAAAAACAGAAGGAAGGAGGAGGGAAAAGTAGTTGTAAAAATGAAGTTGATAATCCTGAAGAATGAATAATAAGACAGCACCTTCAAAATGTACATTTTCAAGGGGCTGAAGAGATGGTTCAGAGGTTGGGAACATTTGCTGCTCTTATAAATGAGACAGTGGCCACATGGTATCTCACAACCACCAATGACTTCAGTTCCAGAGAATCCAATGCCTTCTTCTGACCTCAGAGGGACCCAGGCACACACATGGTACATATACATACATGCAGGCAAACATTCATACACATAAAATAAAATGTATATCCAAAGCCTAGAAGTGTTATCAGTGTTTATTTCTAGAAAAAAATTTGTCATTTAAAAAT